TCGCCTTAGACCGTTGATCGAATGGCTGAAACTCCAAGATCGATACTTGTCAAACTCTGTCGAAGAGGATAGTTTCATCGTCGGCGATTTAAAAAATCCAATCTCAACACCGAATCGCGACCTCAAGCGCAAAGCTTATCATATTACTCGGTATGTACTGATATAGGGTGTGTTTCTTTCTTGTTGATCTTTCAGATACCAATCGCTATTTATCGCGTAGTGTCGCGGCTACCTTCAATAGCCCTCGATTCGAGGACGACCCGATTGGTCTATATGAGCAGCTTCGCACAATGAAAGTTGTCGAGGTTGACAGAATATCATCTGTGTTGAAGATCTTCCAAAACAAACAGCCATTCGAGGTTCATGTAGCAACGGCCAACGAGCATATCGATGATTCGACGGGGGGCTCACGATTTATGTCCCGAAAGATCGTAGAGCGCAAGAGCTCTGTTTCGGTTCAGTCCTTCCCAGGAAACTCGGTGCATGGCTGATGCGACGATCAAAGAGCCTCATCGATGGACCAATTGAAACGGAAGCAGTCAAGGCGTTGACTGCAATCTTTGCAACCGAGAGATTCGTCCTTGATGATGTCCTCGACGACCAGGGGATCTTACAGGTATCATTCGAAGATGAGGATGGAGAAAGTTACAGTAGCGAGACAGAAGAGTATCAAGAAGAAGAAGACCAAGAGGAGGAAAGCCAACAGCAGGGATCATCCGACTGTGAACTTGAGACTGACGATACCCTCTCTGAACAACTAACACCCAGTCATTCCTCGACAAATGCCGGTACATTGCCAGATGCTGAATTGTCTGAAACCATGCGAGAAGAAGGCCTCCATGAAACATTAACCGAGGTGATCTCCCGACGGAGTCAGATGTCATCTCAGCCTCTATCAGGAAGGGTGCATCACTCCCCTCAAGCAGCTGCGTCTCCGAGCTCATCACAATCATTACACCACCCATGCGACCAAACGCGTCGAAACTTACCGCCAGCCATGGCCTCATTGTCTGGGCAACACTATTCTGAAGACACTAGATATCGCGTAATCTTGGATAGAGTTATTGAAAAAGCTCAGAGTGCGGTATTACCATCGAGAGGGTCATTTGACATGAGCGATTTGCGGAATGCCCTACCCAATGATGATACAAATGCATATGAGAGTTTCGACGGGCTGGACCTCGTGAGTCGGTTCCGTTCAACTAGCCAGTTGGAACGTGACAAGAAGGTTGGGGCTGCAGGCGAGTTATATGTGAGCGATCCCACCTGTACGCTTCAGTATTCCGAGGCTAACTGAAGTTTGTGTATAGGTATTTGAGCTTCTATCATGTCTCAACATGCCAAATTGGGACCGCGCGAATTGGCAAAGCACAATCAGATCTTATGTGACCATCCACCCTGACTACAGAGATCTGCAGGCCTGGAGAGGACACGAAACTGCGGACCTGGTCTATTCCGATGATGAAGGGCACTTGACAAATACGCTCATCGGTTGTGGCTATCTTGACCACGATGAGTGGTATGGGGAGCGACCTAAATATTACATTGAAGTCAAGACTACGACTGGGCCATGTAGCACCGCATTCTATATGAGTGGCAAGCAGTACAAGCTTGTAAGTATAGTCAGAATCGCTGGTCTGATCATAAGCTGACTTTAACATAGATGCAACGGGTTCATCAGAGCGATGACCACTCTGAGATCTATATGGTCTTCCGTGTATTCTGGCTTGATAGTGACGATATCTCCCTTTGCCTTTACATTGATCCAGAGCAATTGAGGCAAGATGAGAGTCTCCTTTTCAAGGGACAGGCGTGGACTGTTACCCCAGGACCCAGCATGGGTTAGTTTAAATTTAACGCTGGATGAAGTTGTACCAATAGGTGTGACAGGCAGTCGAAGGAGGAAGCGAGGTCATCTGTAGGAGGAATGAGCGGTGATTGTAAAGTACAGACGATGATAGAATTATCTTTGTAGTTTTTGGTAAATTGACGATCAAGCTATTGTTATAGTGTAGGGGGGCCGTGAAGTGAAAGAAAGACTCTATAGTAGCTGGAATCTCTGTATAGGGGCGCCTCTCTCTCTCAATGATGCTTCTGACATCCTTGGGTCTTTCACCGATAGGTCCCTATGTCCATCTCTGCCCCAGAATGGCCTGCCATCATCAAGTACAACCTCTTCGAATCCATCACAGAAAGGTACACCATCCAATCGAGGGTCTGTATAACGGATGGAGTGTCCTTCTTTCACGAAACCATGTAGAAGAAACTCACGATGCCATAACCTTTCCCATCCGTCGAAGTCATTGCCGAGAAAGGCTTCAGCTGCTGAGAAGTCGGGATGATAAGCTGGACCGATGACAAGATACGAGTTCTCTCTGGCTTGACGCCGTAGAATAATCGACGTGGATAGGCCGAGAAGTACAGCGATTGTGTCTCCCTTCTGAGCCTCCATCGGAACACGAATAAACGTTCCACGGCATGTTTTTACACAGCCATATACCGACCCTCCGACGGGCAAGCTCCGTAAATACACATCATCTTTCTCCCATGGTTCCTGCACATTGTCCTTCTCATAACCATATTCGCTGTTTATCCATTGTCGTATCTTTCTTCTCCAATCGCTTAGGCTATGAAGAGAATACACTCCAGGAGGGTGTAGCTTTTGTGTGCTGTAGTCCCTAACCTGCCCGTAGGTGAGGACCATTATCAATTGATCTAGAATTGAGTCATCTTGGAGTGATTCTTCGGACACCAAAGACAGGAATGTATCAACGATCCTCTGCCGAAATTCGCCAAGAGGCTCAACTAATTCTTTAGGGCGAAGAGGACAAGGCTCATCATAAAGCTCATCACATGCCATTCCAGCCACTTCCAATACATGTGGCTCGATTAGATCTACTGCAGGTGACGAATTACCTCCCGCATTAGAATCCACAGTAAGATCTCCCCATGGCCTCTCCAAATCTGCCACCCAGCTTGGACTTGCAGCTGCGTTGCAGTACGTCAGGAAGTCGAGATCCTGCTGTCGTGTGATTTCATTCAGGCACACTGAAGTGAAGATCTGCTTCAAAGACTTGGTATAGTCTACCTCAATCGATTCAGCCACATCTGGTTCGACAAGGCCTCGTAAAGAGTATATCCTGTCACGATCATCTGAGCATTCGAAGTATTTGGTGGCTGGGAGAGCTCCAAGCCAGTTGTCGCTTTTTTCCATGTCGTCCGCACATGCTAACAATCTGTCCCCGACAACTTGTGCATGTTGGTTATATGCAACAAGATTATCGATAGCATACGATGGAGGACTCGTAAGGAAACATATAACGCTGACTGCATCGTGGAACTGCTTCCAAGATATTTCTTCGTAACCAAGCATCACGATGCATGTTTCCTTGTTTGCCAGCACAACCTCTTGATGAGTCCACAAACGTTTATGCCAGTCTAGTGCCAACATTTCCTCGATGGCCCGCCATTGTTTCACATCTAGTGGGAGACCATCTCTGGCAAGTCCTCCATTAGCATGCGCTGGGTCTTTGAATGTGAAGAACTGTCTGACGACACTATAGTCCATGGTAACCGATTCGACCAGTTCGGCGCATGAGCGCAATGTATGCATTGCCAAGGCACTCCATGGGGTTTCTGGGCCCAACCATACTACTACACACGTAGCGTAGGAGTATATATGATGCATTTTCTGAACTTGGATGGAACGGTCATTAAGGTTGTTTTGATCTATACAGATAGAATCACACCATAGCAATCGCTTTCTGTCAGGGTATCGCAGGGCTCTTAGCGCTGCGGCCAAGTTCCTTCCGATCTGCAACTGTCCTATGGAGTGATTCCGGAATGACTGCTCCATACATACATGATGCTCTTGCGACAATGCGATGGAATCAGGCTGAGACTGATCACCCCAGCAATACGATATGGCATCGAAATCCGGGATCGTTTGTTCGTTGGGCAGGAAGCTTCTGTGCAAAATGGCACCTGTGAGAGGGTCTTCGGACACTCCAGGGTTTAGTTCAAGTAAACGAAGGTCCGAGGACAGAACGGGAAAATATTGGAAGGAATGCATCAGCAATTAACTTCTGAGTTGGTGTCTGTACCTGCGAAAGATATATTTCCCAAGGTCTTGGCGGGCTGAATTAGAAATATGCCAGCAGCTACCAAGATAGCTTAACCGCTTTGTCTGGGAAATTGTAAATCTGCATATAAAACAACACAGTTTCGTGTCAAGGGCTAATTCACAATAAATGAAATGAGCGGTATAGTCGTAGATAGTTCGGAGTCAGTTAGATAATAATTTTCCGGAAGAGTTAGGGTTCGTGGCAATTTATTTCTGTCTGCCTTCCTCATTATCCTTTTGCACGTGGGGAGGTCGATGTGGGGTTGCCGCGGACTGTTGAACCTTAAGTGCCCCATTCATGATTTTGGGCCAATGGGTATCACATATCGCTTTGCTCGTTTCTCCACCACTTCAAGTACAACTACAAAACCACGGACAGCAATGATATTCAATTCACAATATCATAGAAAGCACAGAGTGTGTCGCGATCTACGCTACAAGGAACAATTCATCGTGTCGGTCCGTTGAACCCAAATCAATCCAGATTTCAAACTCTCAAGCCTAGCCGGAGATGCTAGCTAGTGATAATGCATGCATTGCACAATGACCAGTAGTCAAAATGGGTTTTGTCATAGATCAGCTTTTTTTGAGCACTAAATTCAGCTGGTCTACCGCTAGACGTTGTTACTGGCTATGTCTGAAAGGAATGCCTCAGCTTGCAAACCATGTGAGTGATGCACTTTAGCTTTCCATAGACTATCAGCAAAACCACCCTTGTTTATCCTTCCAAAACTAAAGAGAGTGAGTGTTATTCCGATCATACTAGTAACGTATCAGAGCCTAGAAACATTGTCTCGTCGCTTACCTCCCCACTTGGGTGGTGGGTAATGCCCTGGAAGCGACAAAAAGTTCGGAATCACAAACACCAAAAGATAATCGACAACGGCAGGATTCGAACCTGCGCCCGCGAACGGAATTGCTATTTGGAATTTGCTTCGAGGCAATCGCCTTAACCACTCGGCCACGTTGCCTTTCTGTTGTTGTTGAAAATTGAAGTCCAGTTTGGTGATATACAGACACGACACGACAGTGGGAAGCCACCACGATCACATTCGTGTCAATCGCCTTCCCCCTAGCGCTGCTTGCTTTGATACGTCACTAAACTACCACACAGAGTCTATTATTTGCATTTGCCATGCTTGACCTGTAAACTTCAACCTCCAACACATATATGCCAATATCAAATTAAGCTCGTAGAGTTTGAGATAAGGTTATCAGCTATGGCCCAAGATTCATCGAGGAAGGAACGTGACCCACCTACAACGTCCTTCTTCATGATTTGCCGCCATGAACTGCCCAGTGTCATGTTATTGGAATCATGCGAAGCTTATTGGGGGAAACTCAATCACAATCAAACTATTAACGCTAAGGGTTTCAGCCTTTCAGCTGGACCCCAAATCGAGTTGGTTCTGGATGCAAGGAACAGGGATGGATCCATGCTCGAAGGGTTGACCATCGCTCCAGGACGTCACAAATGGCTCAAATACATCCCAGTTTCCAACAAGTTCATTTTGTCTCGGGTCATTCCATTTTTTACTCTTTGTTAATTACAATTAGTCGAATAAATATGCATATCATCCTTTCAACACTCATCAGTCTAGGGTTCTCAATCCTGGCAGCTGCTTCCGACGACGATGTCGTCTCATTCCCTGCTATAGGAGAAGTCGACATCGTATTTCCACGAGAAGATACATACGCAGTAGAAGCACCATTTCCTGTCATCTTTGGACTCCAAAACGCACCAGTTTTGACCACCTTTAGCGGTACTCTCAACTGGGAGCTCGACTGCGCTTACACGCTATTTGGCATCGGTCGGCTCTACTTGGACTTTCTCCCCGACACAGAACCATACTATTTTCTCAATACCAGCCAAGCCATTGCTGACGCTGACGAAGACCAATTCCAGTACTGGCGCGGCGAAGAGGACTCTTGCATTCTGAAGTGGGGTTTTCGATGGACAACTATATGTGAGCCGCGGTCTGATGGCAGCGTTCTCTTGAAAAACAACCAATTCCAACGTTCGGGAAACGTCTCATTCGCTCTCCGTCTAGGCGCAAAGACAGCTTAGAAAGCCATTGCCGAATATGAAGGGTGCGCCATTGGGGGAACAGCAATCAAGCTTGAAAAGAACCACACAGTTGGCTGTCCTATTCTTGCACAGGACTCGTCACCAAAACCAAAGCCTTGCGAAATTGACGTCAAAAAAGCCCGAAGCAGCCTTGCTGCAGCCGTTGTGAAACCTACTACGAGCTTAACCGAGATCCCCAGCAAGACTACGGACTCAGGTGCGAGGACCACGGGCACTGGAGCAGATAATGCTTCTAAACCGACGAGTACTAGTGGAAAGTCAGACGGAGGTGATACCAGTGCCGATAGTGAAAATGTGGCAAGAGGTCACAGTGTCAGCAACAATGGTGGATTCTTGACTGTCTTTGTCGCTCTATCCGTTGGTACTATCCCTTCATTATTCTTGTAAGACACATGTGAATACTATTGTGCTAGGGAGTATTGGTGTGGATGTTGGCTCTTGGCAAGGGAGCAGAGCTACAGGCGTGTTCGCAGAACAAATCCAAACAAACATCCCAAGTTTCTATCAAACGTACCATAAAGTGGCTATATCAACACTAGTATGAGGAGAGTCAAGCCTGATATTACGACGAATAGCGGCCAGAATAAATCAGTAGGGTACGGAGTGCTTACAGATTCAAGTCTCGACGAAACAAGTGTTGAAGTTAGGTATTGGTTAACATACAAATGATATTCTGTCTAGAGATCACTTTGGCATGGGAATATGTTATGTGACTGCAACAAACTGTATGCAAATATTTCATATATACAAGAAATAAATACGATTCCTTTCACTTCTGTGCAAAAGGCACAAGAAGCTGACAACAACCATCATACAAACTGCACATCTCTGAGATGGTCTGGCCTTTAGACAAGCGTTTTTCCTCATGAAAGAGAAAATTAGTGCCAGACTCTATACCCGGCAGTTATGTCACCAGCTTAGTTGCCCTTGCAAGACTCTTCAGCAGCCTGCTGCTGGGGCTGGGGCTGAGAGCCAGGCTGCTGCTGACCATTACCCTGGTTCTGACCCTGACCGTTACCAGCATCAGGCTTAGCAGCACTGTCGCCATCAGTGGCGGCACCACCAGCGGAAGAAGCACCCTCGGAGACGGTCATGTGGGAAGATCCGCTGCTGAAGTAGCCCTCAGTGGCGAGGATCTGGTAGTCATGGGTACCAAGCTTCATGCCGTGCTGCTCCCAAGCCTTGAAGTGAGCACCAACATCGATGCTGCCAGTGGATCGGTGGTTCTTGCGAACGGACCAGTACTGCTCAAAGGTCTGGGTACCGTCGATAGAAGGAGCGTTGGTACGGGTCCTGGTGAAGATTTCGTAGGTGCTGCCATCGACCTCGACAGTTCCCTTGCTCTGAGCTCCGCTGGAGGGATCGTAGGTGCCAAAATCCTCGACGATGTAGTACTCGATCAAGGGGTTTCGGGTCCATCCATAGACGGAAAGGTAGCTGTTGCCGTTAGGCTTGTACTCTCCCTCGTAAGAGATGGTTCTGGGGATGTTAGCGTGAGTTTGTAAACAGCATTGGAGTATGACCTACCGAGCCTTTCCAGGGCTCCAACCCTTTCCACCGACGACGTTGCCACCAGTCTGCCAAGACATGCTGTAAGAGCCGCCAGCGCCGTTCTCATAAGTGGCCTCGGCACCACCATCAGACCACCAAGAGTAGAAGAAGCCATTGTTCATGCCCGAGCTGTTGGGGGTACCACCTCGCTTGGCAAGCGTGGAGAACATGCCTTCAGGAGAGGGGGCAGCGATAGAACCAGCTACGAGTGACAGCCCAGCGAAGATGGAAGTGATGCGAACCATTTTGGCGAAAGATGTTTGATTCCTGAATCAAGTAGAGAAGAAAAGAATGTATAAGATTGAGTAGAAAGCGAGTGATGGGTGGTGAGCTGAAAGGATGATCCAACAAAGAAGAGGCAGAGGAAATAGTAGATATATAGATATCTAGATACCTAGATACTCAAGAATCAAAAGACCCTTGTTTCATGGAGTGGGTTGCTGAGGCTGAAACAACTGCCGCGGACCGAGTTGCCGATCGGACCATGTTAATGAAGGAGGATCGACTCGATAATTTTTCCGTCCGTTAAGCGACCGACTTGGCGATTTGATCATGTTTATGAAACCGCAAAATCAATGCCTTGTTGCCGGTCAGTGAAGGAACATGAATCGATCGTGGGCCGAGAATCCGATTTGCCAAGGCGATGTTTATGCTGTCTTGAAGTTTGTGGTGATATTTCCGTCGGCTAAATGTGATTTTGATGGTGTGTACTTTGTAGTATTTTAGTATTCGAATGAGTTGACATTCAATTTCATTATATCATCTCTGAGACTTGATGTAAGAATGTGTATAGTATCATACAACTATGTGGTGTTTGGTGTTTGGTGTTTTGAATGCATCCCTTCTCTTGCAACGAAACAACAGGTAACAAACAGGAAATAGTACATTTGAATCACTTGCGTCGTTTCCTGTCAACTGAACTCAATTTCTTGGTCATCCACGTCAGGCCTGACCATGTTGGACCACAATTAATTTCGATTGAAACATAGCGTGACCCTAGTCAACAACGCGTCTCGGGATTTTTACCCATCTTGGCATTCCAGAGTCCTTGCTCAACTTGAAACACATGACAAAAGAGCCACCACGAGATGTCAAAGTTGGGCGGTTTCAGGTACAATAACTGGGCATGAGACTATTTTTGACTTGTAGCCTCGACTACCGAGAGGGAAACGTGACGACGCTCATTGCCATGGGGAACCTATGTACCTGGTGCGATTGGACGGAAATATTTTTGTTTTGGCAAACATCCATGGGATTAATTTCACATTCATCGGGAAACATGTTGGCATATCACACAAGGGTAGCATTGAACCGCAATCCGATGTGACAGAGGCAACGGTTACCTCTCAGTCAATATGGATCAACAGATAGATCTTCACCAACCAGGTCAATCTATGCAGATTACCCCAAAGTATAATTATTCTAAGAAAGGCTAAGCTTTGCTAAGATTTAGCCTAAAATATAGAAGCGGAAGCTACCATTGTCTCTCCGAAATCCACATCATATTCAGCTTCGGCTTCGACCAGATACTGGCCTTTGCACCTAAGACTATAAAGCCGGAGTGTGACAAACTACGGCTATCCTGAGAACGACCCTTGCTTCTCCAACGAGGCCTGAGCGATTGAGTGGGCCATGACTTCGTTGACAGACTACTGGGTATCAGAACGTTGGCCTCCCAAGTCTTAGGGTACAAACCTAATAACCCAAACAGTAGAATCAGTATCGTGAGCTGGTCAACTAGATCTGTCTCTTTTGCTTTCAGCAGCCAATTTTCCTGATACCATGAGGACAGATCAGACATGTCAAGGGTTATAATGACTCGTCATCTCGGTTGGCTTATTCCTCTTTTTAAGCTTTATGTATTTTCGGAGACCTCTATCATGTTCCCTAATCTAGTCGTTGTATCGTATTCCTTTCTCTAGGTACTTTGTCGATTTGACCCATTGCCTCAATGCCGATACCCGCTGCTACGCCTTCCTTAGTAGCTCTTCTCATGCCGTTCCGTTATTCTGAATTGGTACTTTTTCTCCAACATGGAGCAACACCCTGAGATTGTCAGGCTAGGTTACGAAATCATCTCCCGGAAATAACTCACCATGAAATTCTCCAATACGGTTTCCCATTCAAGCTCTTGCACATCCCCCTACTGCCCCCATTCTCAGGTGCCACGTCTGCACAACACCAGCCATCATCCGCAAAGTCAAGGGACTTTTCACGAAACAGCTTCGCAGCGAGCGTCTTGGCGAGTCCTCGTCGACGATAAGGTTCCTGCGCATCGTCAGCTACCATGGCTCTATCGATTTCGGTACACTTACTTCACAGTGAAGACTG